TGTATACAAGTGTATCTAATCTTGTTTCTCACTTACCTCTCTCACTGCAGGTTTCTGAATGTGGCTGGCCAGCAAGACGAGCACCGAATCTTCAGAATCTTTATAGTATATGCAAGAACATGCATTTATGGCTGAAACAAGATCAGAAAAATGTTTGCATTGTGCACTGCCTTGTAAGTAATGGGTTCAAGTCTGAAGAGCTTTGCTCAATCCAAATTCATATTGTCAGTGCTAGTGTCCACTCAGTTTGTGAATATTAATGATTTTCTCCACTCTGGGACTTGAAGACTGTTCCATGCGAGTTTAATATGTTTAGAAAAGCAGTTTTCATCAGTTTTCTGACAGTCTATAAGATAATATAACCCTTATTTCTGTGTATGTAACATAAAAGTCAGTATATAAGAATTAATGCAAAGTAGCCTTTGGGAGAAAAAAATCTGCTCTCCTCTTGCATTGTTTGCTTTTTTGTCAATCTGCTGTTTTGCTGTACAGAGCGCTTACTTCACGTTTTGAGTACCAGTTGAGTATATACTGCATTTTCCACTGTTTTCCTTATTGAATGAATTACTACCTGCAGTGTAATCTGCATTTGCAAAATGTTAGAAATTGACTGTGGAAATTCTACTGGAATTTACCTTTGATAGCAACAGATTTCATTGTGACTTCCTCTGTTCTCTAATATACCACTAACCTTGGTACAGCCCAAAAAATATCAATAAGACTTTAGATGGAGAGCCACCTCTTGTCTGGCATGGGGAGAACAATTGTAAAGGCAAAGTTATGTGCAAGAATTGAAAGCACAGGGGTTAGTGTTATGTTTGAGAATTGCATGCAGAATTCTTTACCTTCCTGTGCGATAAAAACATGACAGGTGTCACATCGCTTATCCTGCTGGAGACACTCAAAACAAGTCATTAATATGCTCTGGCGGTCCGTATGGAATATCCCTCTCTGGGTCGAAAAGTTGACTTGTTAATTGGGTAAAACGTACTTCCTTAAACAGAACTTTGCAAGGACAACTTCAGTTAATGTCACCTCCTGAAAAGCAATAGGATTTTCCATAGCTGTATGGTTAGGAATCTAATTCTATATTAGTGATATGTACTGTAGTGTCAA